TTGTTGCAAGTTGAAATGTTTTTTTTTTTTACAAGTTTCATCTTCTGCATTCACTATATTAGAATAAAATTGTTGCAAAATAATGCTTTGATTTCGAAATGCCATGGGTTTAAATTTCTTTAGTTCACTATCCAACAAAAGTAAAGAGCTCATGTTTATTGACTCATCAAATTTATCTTGAAATAATAATTCACAATCCTTGGGTTTCAATTGTATTTTTTTATTAGAAAAATTACAGAAATCCCGCCTTTTAGTTTACTTATTACCATTATTCCCTATATGTTTTACAAATCTCCAAAAAATGTGTATCTTGCACATCAGATTAGTGTATCATGTATAAAACGTACATCAGATTAGTGTATCATGTATAAAATTTAATGTATCTTACTTAATGATTAATGTATCTCGTGCATCAAATTATTGTATTAACGCTTATATTATTGTATCCGTTTGAGGAATTTTTGTAATTATAAACTTTTAAGGGATAGATTGTAATTTTGCCTTAAAAGTATTAAATTTCTGTAATTTGCCCTTCTTTATTTCCTTTAGATAACATAATCCAAGTAAAACTATTTTCAAAAGAAGTTTTTCGAAACTAATCCAAACGCACAAAGATCTCTTCCAAAATTATTTTGCAAAAATCAGAACCAAAGTGTTATTTGTAAGAGTGGCTCTATTTTGGGATGATTTTTAATTTTAGAGAAAATTACACAAATTAGACGCAAAAGTATTTACCCAAATTGGACCTAACCTAATATATTTATCCTGATTGGACTTACAATCCAAACTATTTACCTGATTGCCCTCCTTGTTCTATTCACTGAACCACTGATGATACCATTAACTTCGATTGTATTTATATACTCTGATGGTATCTATATACCTTGATAGTATCAAACAATAATTGAACAGTCTTCTCATTGAAACACTAACTCTTTCTCCTTGATGTCATTAGAGTATGGTATCATGGAGTAATTGAAGCACTGCTTCTTTCTCTTTGATAGAGGGGTATGAAAGTAAGGAGATAACCGCTTGTAAATAGTTTCCCTTTTTGGATACAAATGTTCTTTTTCCTTAATTTTATCCATCAAATTGGTGATCTTTAATTTTTAACCTTTAATATTTTAAATAATAAAAAAAGTGGTCAAAAATATCACCGACCACGAGAAAAGAAAATTGTATGACAAAAAGTTACTTTTTTATAAGGTATTACAAGTTATGCACTTTATTCCAACGGAACTTATATTGTTAGAGACATCATAACCCACCAATTGTGCCTTACAAGCTATAACTCAGTGAACTTGTGTCGATAGAAACACAGGAACTTGTGTAAATTTCCCAAATAATATTTGGGAAAAAAATTTGGCAAATAGTGTTTGTCCATACAATTTGTCATTATTTGGTAAATATTTTTGGTAAATATCCCAAATTCCCAAATACTAGTTTTTTCTAGTATTTGGGCCAAATCTCATTATTTGGGATCTTTTGAAAATAGAAATTTTACACCAAACTTTTATCTTTTACAAACATCCTCTATAGTAGTTGTTTGCGTTGTATTACATGATTTTTTACGTGAACACCAAAGTAGTGGTGAAATATTCAGTGAATATGAAAGTAATAATATAGTTGTTGATGAAAATGATGAACAATCGGCTCAAGGGTAACAAAGTCACGTGCTTTGTCTATTTCACGATGTATGGAATGTGCACTCACTCCAAACTACCACATTGCTCTAGTGTCATGGACACTACTTGTTATTTGTTGCAACGAAGATCCAATTGACTTGTAGTTCAAACTTATGATTTGTTTTGATAGTTTTTAGAACTTATGAGTATAAATCATATTTTTCTAAAAAAGTGAAATTTATTTTCCAAATACTATGGTCAAACACATAGTGAAATTTCAGCCAAATAATATTTGCCAAAAGTATTTGGAAATCTATGACCAAACACTATTTATGTATCGCAAAAGGATCTTAAGTATTCCGCCAATAAAGGCCCTCTAAATTGGTTCAGCCCAAATGCCCAATCAACACACGAACTCCTACAATTTTATAGTTTCAACCCCAGAAGAATTACAAATTACCATCTTCCTCCTCAAGAAATTGTAAATTATTCCTTTCGACTTCTCATACTTTCATCCTTCCTGTTTCGTCTGAGATCGTCAAATGCAGTCCTGCAAAGCCGCTCCCAGTAACCCACAGGTCAGTTCTTGCTATTCATTTTTGCTTTTTTTGAATTGATTAAGAGGTGAATTGTGGAAGGATAAAAAATGTAAGTGAAATTTCGTCATCTGATCTATTGGTTTGTATTCAATTTCTCACAAAAAGGGTTGTAGAATTTGTATACTTTTTTTATTGAATTGGGTTTTGTGTTGTATAGTTCTGGATCTCTGAATTTGAGGGATCTGAACTTTGAATTTTCGTTTGTTTTAGCGCTGATGATAAAGTTATACTGAACATTGTGATCTTTGTTTTCTGAATTTTAGCTAAATTGGTACCAGAGATAGTTACCACATCTTAATTTCCTGTACCTTAATTCCTCCGAAAAAAATTGGGTTGTCAATATAAAGATAAGTGTGAGATTATTATAAAACTTGTAGTTTTAGAGAATGCTTAGTGTATGAATTATTGAGTATTGGAGTGAAATGCGCCTAAAAAGCTGATCAATATTAAGGGATTCAATATAGTAAATATTTTTCGAGCTCTCCAGATGAAAAAGAATACTGTATATTTCTTTAGTGTTAAATCTTAACATTCTCCCTAATATACTTTTGGATCTAATAAGATTGATTGGTTTTGGCTCGTGTACAAGATAGAGCAGCTTTACTGATATTGATTAGCTTGTGGATCTCTGCTTTGTAGGGTGCTGGAACAAACACGGAACAGGTGTATTCTGAATCGGAGAATTTTGTTGTGACAGAAAATAGTTTGGATAATGACCAGTCTGTGGATGTTGAGGACAGTGGTTCAGGGGATAATAGTGAGTTGGATCCAGAGGCATCACGATTAATTCCTGGGCTTCCTGATGACATTGCACTTTTCTGCTTGGCAAGGGTTCCTCGAAGGCATCATGTGCTTCTGAAATGTGTGTCAAGAAAATGGAGAGACTTGGTTAGTGGTGAAGAGTGGTACTCCTATAGAAAAAAACATGATCTCCAGGAGAGTTGGATTTATGCCTTAGGTAGAGACAAGTCTGAACAGCTGTGTTGTTATGTTTTGGATCCAACTCGATTAAAAAGGGGATGGAAGCCCATTCTAGGACTTCCACATCGCTGCATAAGGAGAAAAGGTGTAGGCTTTGAAGTGTTAGGGAAGAAACTATTCCTATTCGGTGGATGTGGCTGGATTGAAGATGCTACTAACGAAGTCTATTGCTATGATGCTGCCATGAATAAGTGGAATCAAGCTACTTCCTTGGTGGTTCCAAGGTATTTTTCCAACTTGCTTTTATGGAAAGCATTTTGAGTTTTTGACTCAACCTTTAACTAATATTCACTTGCCATTTTTTTTTCTGTGTACTCAATCTCCAAATGCTTGTATGGTTTTTATTTTTGAGATATCATTGTTATTGTCACATAACCTCTATCTTCCACATTTTTATATTTCCTTTTAGGAACATTAATCTTTACAGAGATCAGTTTTGTTATGGAACTTATAGGTTAGGCTTCAGAAGACCTTTAGAGCAGGCATGAGTTGATTGCTTAGTTGCATGAGAAACCCTTTGGCTCTTTTGCTTATTGGGGTTTTATTCGCTGTGATTATTGTGTTTCCTCCTAGGCTGGTGTCTTTCCCATTTGGTGAATGTATGTTGTTGTATAAGTTTTTCTCGGTTACTACCATGCAGTTCCACCCTTCACTTACTGATGAGAATAAGAGTCTACCAGTTACATATTATTATAGTCATTCAAGTTAGCCTTCTTAAACTTCATTGTTTAATTGGGCAATACACCATAGCTTATCTGAATCGTTCTTTTTTTTTTCCAGGTGCTACTCTGTATCTGAAGTGTTAGATGAAAAAATCTATGCAATTGGGGGAATAGGGCCAAATTCCAATAATTTACCTTCCTGGGAAACTTACAACACGGAAACAACAAGTTGGACTTTGCATGAAAACCCTAACATTTTCCCTGATATTGAAGATTCTATAGTCTTGGGTGGGAAGATTTACATTCGCGGGGGTTCTTCACCTCTATCTTCTTTAGTGTCTGCATTTGTCTATGAACGATCAAGCAACACATGGCAGCCAGCAGCTTCTGAATTAGTATCAGGTTGGTATGGTCCAGCAGTTGTCGTAGATGGGACGCTTTATGTGTTAGATCAGTCTTCAGGTACCAGGTTGATGATGTGGCAAAAGGATATTAGGGAATGGGTGGCAGTTGGGAGATTGTCACCCCTATTGACAAAGCCTCCCTGTCGGCTTGTGGCGGTGGGGAATAATATCTTTATTATTGGAAAGGGCCTTAGCACTGTCGTTTTTAATGTTGAAAACGCAAGGAACATGGATGGTGTGTTAGTGAGCACTTCCATTCCAAAGTCAATATCTGACGATGATGTAATAAGTTGTAAAGCAATCACAATCTAAGTGTAGGAATATCAAGTGTAACAGCTTGCTGTGACTTGTTAATGTCCTTTGCTACCGTCAGTGACACATCTGTTTCGCGTATGATTCAAAGGGCTCCTATTCAGCTGGCGTCATGGTTGGGACTCTCTCTTAAGTTATACAAGCAAAATTTGTTAGTATTTCTGTACTCGATGGATTTCATACCTTGTACACGTACTGTTGAATTTCCATTAAGAGCATTCAGATTTGGTGGGTAATTATATCTCCATTTGTATCATACTTGCTTCTCTAAAATGCTTTAGCTATTGACTGAAAGAATCTAGCTGATGACATATTAACTTTGTAGCAATTAGCAGGGCTACAGATTGTGATGAGCTTCATGAATATCATATCAATCAATCAAATATACTGCAATCTGTTTTATTACGACTTTGCTTCATGAAACTTACATAGACAAATTTACGGGCGTCTGTCCCTACGTGTGAACTTTGCCATGGTCTGTTCTGTTTAGCATAACCTAAGCTACATCTACAATACCATACTAATAACTCTCAATAAGTCCGTTTTCTTTTAAAGGCAGGATGGATGACTCCGTTGCACGATTGTAATTTATCAATCCTTTTCATACATTCCTTCATCCTAGTCAATACAACAGGTATGGCAGAGGCATTCTCCGAAATCTTCTGTTTAAGGAGCTGTACTTTCTGCTCATCTCCAGCTAAAATGGCAATATTACCAGATTCAATTGGTCCTTCAACATCTGTAAAGAGATCAAGATAACAATTACAAACAAAACAAAAAGTTCCTGAATACAGTAATCTAGTAAACTAGTAACATATGATAGACTATCTTTGGACTGTCGCGATAAAACTTTGTACACTGTGGTTTGATGCTCCTACTATTGCGAAATATTAAACACTAATGAGAAGATTTGATTAGAGTGCATTTAGCACTCATGGCACATCACTGAGCTCGAACTCTGCAACAAATAAAAACCTGATATTTAAGTGGAGAAGAGTAGAGGGGCTGAGCAGCCTGTATAGATCTCTTTGTTTCATTGTGTCTCATTTTTTGCTAAGTTTTCGTGGATTCCAAGAAATTGTAGGTGTTCCGAAACATAACTTTCGGTCTACCTTCTTCTAACACCTTCACTTATCATAGTTCTTCTTCGCACTAATATTACATTTCACCAAATTTATATCCATTCAAACACCACAAAATGACTTCTTAGGTTCAGTCAAAATATTAATCAATCAAATTGGGCCTTTATTCACCAAATTTTTTTCTATACTAACACTGTTCCAGGAACAGGAGAGAATGACCTTTTCGAACATTCCAGAGCAAATATATGGAATTAAAACATTATGCATCTGATAGATTTAGAAGAATATAAATGAGAAAACTCAAGAAACGTACCGGAGCTTGGATCGCCGGAGGACCCAGATTGAGATTCGGACCCATCGTCAAAATGGGTGCCCAAAACGGGTCTTTGAGCGGTAAGAATGGAAGAGACAGTAGTTTTGAGCTGAACCGAAATTGCTCCCCGGTACTCCGCAATTCTCTCAGCCATTTGGTTCACTTCTTCCTCTATTTCTTCCAGCTCCGATACGTCATCGTTTTGCTCTAGAATTTGCTGCTGAGGTTGACTCAACATTTCATCTTGACTTGTTTGCATAACACACAGTATTGGTGTTCGTGTGTTTTCGGCGGTGGGGATGGTTGTCCCGGTGAAAGGACTGGAGGAGCGGGAAATTGGGGAAGTTTGAAAATTTGAAATGAAGTTGAGGACACCTTTTAAATATTTTTTAATATTACTGTAATCTTAAACTAATATTAAAATCATTTAATCTTTCTTAAATATGTCATGTTATCCCTTTTCAAACGTTAACTATACTGAATATATTATTGTATGTGTGTAAATGAATATCATAAAGTTTATATCAACGAAATGCTTAACCACCCATTGAATTGAAAAAAAAACAATCCATTTGAATTACAATAACTCTTTTGCTCTTATCTTTTTTATTTGAAAGTGACAATCACCTTTATATGAAATTTTAAGTTGTCACAATTCAAACTTCAATAAATTTTGTGAAGATTTGAATTGAGTTTAAACTAATTAAACTTCAATTATTATTTTTAATTTCACAAAAGTGCAATTCAAACTTCAAAAATAAGTCATGAAGTTTGAATCGGTGAATTTTTAAAATGTAGTAAAATTTCTTAAAAATATGAAATTTGATACCCAAAAATTTGTTTCATCTTCGAATAAATTCCACAAATGATGATGATGATCTTCCGACATGAGCATATATTGAATAAATAAAAACAATAATTGAATATATCATCATATTCATCTCATCTATTAATATAACAATCAAATGATTTCGCACATCAAAATATAAGTTAAATAGATAAAAGAAATATATTTACTAGTATATTTTATTTTTTTACTTTTGAAACTTTTCAATTTTACATCCACTTTATTAATTACAATGTCGCATCCTTCCAAGCACGTTACAACTCGCAAATTTGTTGTGAACAAAGTTTGATATTTAAATTGGAAAGAAAAATATAAAAATAAAAATCAACTTAGCAAAATTTTGATCTTGCAGCAAATTATTCACTTGATCTCCACGGAGTGAACAACACATGGAGTTATATAAGTTGAAATTTGTATATTGACAAGCAAGTCTGGGTGGTGTAGTCGGTTATCACGCTAGTCTCACACACTAGAGGTCCCCGGTTCGAACCCGGGCTCAGACATTTTTTTTTTTTGCCTATTTTATTTTTAATTTTTTATTGCCTCTTTTTAATTTATCTTTTTTACTGCCTTCTTCATAGGGGTGGGCATGGTATGGTATATACCGAATATCACATCGAAATTGAAATTTTTTATTTAAAATTTTTGGTACGGTAGTTGATATTTATAAAATAAATACCGAAATATTGTATACCATATCGAAATTTTATAGTAATATTAAAAACTAATCATTCACTAATATGTAGACTCTTACTTGACATAGTACCATGTTAGTGAATGATTTTTGTGTTGTAAAATTATATAGGGCTATGCATAATTTTAGATAATGTTATTTAAATTTTGCATCTATGACTACTCGATTGTTATTGAAGTATTCATTTTATGAAATTATTTAACAAAAGTAATTGTTGATCTAATACGATTGTGCTTTTGAATTTCTCACTTGCAAGAATACTTGCTAAAGGACAAAGAGAATGAATTCTAATTTATTTGCTAAATAAATTGCATGGAGAGTTATAAATTTATGTAAGTCGAAGTCAAATAAATTATGGTTATCGAATATTATATCGTAAAATACTAAAATTGAAATTAAATATATCGAATCATACTGAGCTAATTTGGTATGATAATGGTATAGTACTCTAGTAACAAATACTGAAATTACGGTATCAAAATTTGTAAATATCGTACCATGCCACCCCTACTTCTTTATGCCTCTTTTATTTTATATTTTTTTAGGCATAATACATAAACATGTCTTTTAACTTGAAGCCCTTTTAACTTAACTTTATCGGATATTTATGTCATTTAACTTCGAGCATGTACAAGTAAATATTTAAATTGTATAAACTCGAACAAATATATACTCATATGTCCTACGTGTCATAATACACATAAAATGCCCTAGGATATGTGAATTATCATATAAATGCCAAGTAAGACGTATGTGTCTACTTTATTTAATTTTACGTTTGTGTCTACTTTATTTAATTTTATACAGTGATGAAACCAAGTTAATATTTATGTATTAGAGGATTTCTCTTTCTTGCCTGAATCTGTGTGGCTTCTTCACTCCTCCAGCCGCCGGAGCAGATTTTGCAGCCAATTGCTGCCAGGGGACTTACGGTCAGTTTTCTTTGTACGAGCCATTGAGAATCTAAGATTCAAAAGGGATAGTTGTGATTTGTTTATACAGATTTGATTGTAAGTTCCCCTCCTCCTATCCTATCAACTGAGAAGCATCACTGTCCAATTGGGTGATTTTTTGGTGAAAATGTACTGCTGCCCACTCTCACCTTCAAAACAGAGTCCTTATTCATCTACTCATTTTCTTTCCCCTTCAGCGACATATTTTGGGATTTGTAATGCAAGCAAAAGGGTGTCCATTTCTCTAATTAATTTGGGAAATGAATCAAAGGAATCGGTTTCTACTTCGAGACTAAATTATGGGTTCCTTCGTGCAACCAAAAGGGTGTCTGTTTCAGTGACTAGTTTGGGAAATGGGGATCGTTTGGTCAATGTTAGGTGTGGAGAGTCGGCTGTGGAGCATGATGATGGGTTTTATATAAGAAGGTGTGTGGAGATTGCTAGGAAAGCAGTTGGGCATACCAGTCCTAATCCTATGGTTGGGTGTGTAATTGTTAAGGATGGGAAGATTGTAGGTGAAGGTTTTCACCCAAAAGCTGGCCAGCCACATGCTGAGGTGAGTTGACCATGAAGTTCATTTGGCTATTGTTTGATTTCATTCTTGAATTGATATTGCGCGCTTTTGACATCCTATAACTGAGACAACTATAATGATGTTTGGCTAGTAGTTTTTAAGTTAAAATTCTTGGTTTGGAAGCACAATTCAAATGATCCAACTACTCTTAGATTGCAAGTTAAGCTCAATATTTTGGCCTTTCTCCATTTCATAGTAAATTTTCTAGCAAGGAAAGAACAGAAAAGATTAGACTAGGGATTTGAGGAAACAAATATATTTAACCTGAATATTAGAGTATTAAATTAATAAATATATGTGACAAGGCATGTCTTCGATCCCATGAAGTGGGAAGGGGGCTTGACACTTTTTGTGTGCTGAGTTTTCTAAGAGTTGGAACTCTTTTATATGTAACTTTGGTTTGATGAGGAGCTATAGATAGTGTGTCTGCAAAATCTGTTGTGTTAAATGCTTAAAACATGAAGTGTAAATGTAGGTTTTTGCACTCCGAGATGCTGGTGATTTTGCAGAAAATGCAACAGCCTTTGTGAGCTTGGAACCATGTAATCATTATGGAAGAACTCCACCTTGTACTGAGGCATTAATCAAGGCCAAAGTGAAAAAGGTGGTTGTCGGGATGGTGGATCCAAATCCTATTGTAGCTTCAACTGGTGTAAGTAGATTAAGAGATGAAGGAATTGAAGTGATCACAGGTGTTGAAGAAGAACTCTGCAGGAAGCTTAATGAAGCTTATATACATCAAATGTTGACCGGAAAGCCATTTGTCACACTCAGGTATAAATTTGATCTTTCCACAATTATTGCAAATTGTGACACCATGATTCAGGATCACATCATTCAGTGTGTGTATATCAGTTTCTCGATTACCCAATAATTAATCTGTAACAACAGGTACTCTCTCTCAGTTGATGGTGATCTCTTGGATCAGCTGGGTGCAGAAGTCACGGAGTCTGGTGGATACTATTCAAAATTGTTACAAGAATATGATGCAGTTGTTGTTTCTTCCTTCGTGCTGTCAACAAAGCATTCTGTTCTTTCATCTAAAGAACCAGGAGCAAAGCAACCTCTTCAGATAGTATTAGCAAAAAGTTCAGGTTCACTACAACTCCCTGCCGTTACAGCGATATCATCTAAAACTATAATCTTTAGTGATGAGGAGATTGTTATGGAGCTTGAAGCAAGTCAAAGAGGGATAGAGACAGTAGTTTTGGATAGGATGAATTTAACAGCTATCCTTGAACATTGCAAGCGTCAAGGACTGTGCAGTGTGATGCTGGATTTGAGAGGAAACTCTGCAGAATTTGAGGAAATCCTGCAAGAGGGTTTTGAACAAAATTTGTTTCAGAAGGTTATTGTGGAAATGTTGCCAATTTTGGGTGCAGGTTATAAAGAGGCTTTCAAATATATGCAGCAAAACCGAAGGCTGAAGAATTTAACATCGAGGACCTTAGGCGAAAGTATTCTTCTGGAAGGATATTTCTAAGTGGATGGAAGATTTTATAATGATGGTGATCATACAAGGTTATCTTCCGCTTATCACTGAAAGCTGCAACAAGTCTACAAGCATATCAAAGTTACATTCCTGCCTCTAAAAGAGGGAGCTTGATTTCTGAACCAGTGCTACTTTATTCATGTCACTTCAAACTATACTGAAAGGTCCATGGTGAGATCAGGCTTCTCTTGTTGACGTTGTAGAACTGACTATGTTTTGTACTAGAATCTTTAGACCATTCAAGTTTTTGCTAGAAAATGTTTAAGACAAACATATAATGTTGCTTTCCGTTTGTTGCATTTCAATTGACAATAAAGATGTCTGCATTTTGATCTTTACTTTCGTTTGATCATGTGATAAACTTGTTAACTGCTAATTCAGTACTTTAACTAAGGTGTCACAAATAGTGGATCCAAGCACCATTTTCAATGAGAACAGCTCACTTTGGAATACTACAAGGATGTTTTTTGTTCATAAGTTTATTTAAAGGAAGTAGTGCGTACACAACAGGGACTAATCTTCATTGATACACTAAAGACTTGTCTTCTATTTCTGTTAGTTCATATTCATGAAAGAGGACATAATGGTGATGTATGTGCCCAGAATGTCCATGATATGCAAACTGCTGTTGTTTTGCTTTCAAATATAGCATCGTGGCTTTGAAGATGCTATTAAGTTTGTAAATTTTGCTAAAACATGTGCATAATTAATTGTCTTTTACTAATATACATTATCATTTTTTTTCTCATGTTTTATTCTTTCATCCTTACCTCTTGAACCAGGTAACCTAACATGGTTATGGGGAGTACAAGTCACAACAAAGGTTAGTCTGTTTAGTTCTTCCATCATATCTTCTATAGATAATTTTAATCTGTATAAGCATGCCAAGAGATGAGTCATTGCATGGTGAAGTAGCTTATTTATTTAATTTTCTAATACAAATACATGATTTACGGAAAAGTTATTGAGTTCATTCAAACAGTGTTCTTTTCTTTTTAAATTGTAGTAAGAGTTTACTGAACTCGTGAATATTGGAACCCAATCATGCAATGCTACCCTTCACTTCAAGGTTCACACCCAGTGTTTGATTCATACGACTAAATTGAATACATGTTGCGCAAGATCTATTAAAAAGAAAAATAGGTTATTTTGTACGTTCAACAACCGAAAAAAAAGTTATGAGCTAAAGATCTTATTTAATGAGCAAGCACAATTTGAGAAAGAAAAATAATATGACACATAGTACTTGATCATAACTAAACAAACTATAATATATGAGTAAGGATCTTTTACAAACAACTTGTAACTTTATCAAATTAATAAGTAGCTAACTATATCACAAAGTCATATTCATCAAGATTGATATCAGTATCATCATTCTTTGATATTATTCCATTCTCTTCTGAATTCATACATTCATCCTCCAATGTAGCAAGAAAATCAACCCCAACATCCACCTCTATATTATCATCTTCTAATTCTTCCATAACCGAATCGATTAGTTCATTAACTTCAACCTAATTCATAGTATTCTCATCTTTTTTCTGACCATCATGCATCATCACGTGCTTGTTTCTTCTTCTTAATCTTAAAAATTACAAAATCCTTATATATAATTTTCTTCTTAATATTAGTAACATAAACCATCATGAGTATTCGGTCATCAACCACTCGTCGAATAACTCCTTGATTATTGACTTTTTGTTAGTGCAGGGTGTGTACTTCATATGGTGGACATACCCCATAAGTCTACCTTTTTCATCAAACACTTTCTTCGCTGGGTCTTGTATCTTCCATGTGCCCTCCCCAACAATTCGCTTAAATCTTTTATGATGTGGCTTCTCTTTCTTCAACGGTGTAATGAAGTAACCTGCGTTGGTGTTAGTGCCCTCAAGAATCTCCCATGACTCCTTGTCCGCGTAAAGATCAACTAGTTGCATGTATTGATGTTGCTCAAGAAGTGACTCGTCTATCATAAACACTAGTAAATACTTGATAACATCCCTCTCCTTCGGGTAAAAATAATAGTTTGAATATCTCTTAGGTTGATGATGATCACGAACAATCATTATACTTTAGTGATGAATATTAAACAAATTAACAGTAGTGGATGAATCAAGCTAAAAGAATATCCCTAAAACCCTAGTAATTAAGACAATATGATCGATAAAAGAGGTTGATACTATAATGGTATAATGACTTTAGTTAGTGCACATATATAGTTATAAGCCTAATTTGTATCCTGCTTGGAAATGAACTTATTAAGATTACCAATTTGGTAACTTAAAAGTAGTCGTTTCATATTTTGATCAGGAAAAGGATAAAGAGTGAGCTCCTCCAAAGAGCCAAAGCCTCTTGCGGTAGAGATTTTGATTTTTTTTTTCTTTTCCCTTTTATGTAAGAAAAATAGTTACTTTATTCTTTTTGAAAAAGAAATAAAAGATTTATTTATTTATTCCGTTTCATATTTTGATTTGAAAAAAGGATAATCACTCAGAAGTTTCCTATTTTTTCCATTTCAAATTACGATATTCTTCTTCAAAACCTAACTTCCTAACAATATAAGTGGAGAGACGTGTCATGAGATTATCTTTTTCTCTTTTCTTGTTTGATTTTTCTCTTGTCATGACTGCTTCTTTCTTAGCAGATCTTGACGAATTGTCTGATAACGAGTAGACTCGAATCTCGATCATGGATAGAGGAAGATGATGGAGAATTGGATGAGATAGATAATGTTTCCAAACTGCAAAAATCAAATTGATAATTTTAATTTCACTTATTATTATATTGAAGATGGTAAGAAAAAAAGAAGAAAAAACGTACATTAAAAAAGAAAGAACAAAAAAACTATCTACTTTTTTATAAATAAAAAATACTTTAGAACTTTGAATTAAATAATTTAAACTTCATGTATTAATAAATAAAAAATTTACAACACCATCCAAGGCAATGTATTCTAGACATATTAGTAGCATCTTGTTAACTAGAATTAATTCTTATTTTTATAAATGACTATAATAATAATTTTACTATCTGAAGGTAAATGATTTACATCTTTTTACAACACGAAACTAAAAACAAGTATATGTCAATAAATCCCGTTATTTATCTACCCCACCCCAATTGTTGTTGTTGTAAATAGGGTTGAGGCAGGGATTAGTCGGACGGGATGGACAAGTGAAAAAAACACTTAATCAGTAACTTGAAAGAATGTCCCTAAAACTCTAGCAATTAATTAAGTTGTATAACATTAAAAAGGTTACTATAATGGTATAATGACTTTTAAGCGCAAATATATAGTCATAATCCTAATTTGTATCGTGCTTGGAAATGGAGTATGAAGCTTACCAATTTGGTAATTCAGAGAGATTTTGGATTTTTTCTTTTATGTAAGAAAAATAGTCTTTCTTTTTGAAGCTGATTTGTATACCAAATTTCGCAAAATGATTTTGTATTATCTGAAACTTATCTAATTAGCTCACTCATCTAAATTATTCGAATTCAAAAGATTAATTTTTTTTTAAAAAAATAGAACCTTTTTTTAATGATAAATTTGAAGAATTATATATTATATAGAGTTATCATTTTATTTTTATAATGAAACAATAACCGAACCTTTCGGCTAAAAGCAGAACAAATATTAAGTTTACCACTTTGGTAACTCAAAAGTAGCGGGAGAGATATTTTGAATTTTTTTCTTTTCAATTTTATGCAAGATAAATAGTTTTTGTTTTCGAAAAAGAAAAGTATTTTAATTAGGAAAATGATAAAGAGTTGGCTCCTGCGAAAGCAACCAAAACCTCTTGGTAGGAAGAAAAAGATTAATAAGAATTAAGATCAATCTCCTTTAGTAAATAAAAACCAAAAGAACACATAAGTAAATGATGGATACAAAGAGGCAAGTGAATCAACACCTACTACTCTGGACATGGTGCTTTTATCGGGTCAGTCTTACTCCGAAAAGACCACACAGAAAAAGTTCGATTCGTATGTATTACAAAGGGTTTTTGCTAAAATGCTTCCTGAACTAAGATTATAACTAGAAACGCCTAATGTCTTTGGGAGGCTTAAAGTGAAGAGGATGAGTTTCTGGGGTGGCAGTTTCGTCTTCTTTCCACATCTTTATGGTCTTATCAGCTTCACAGCTGATCAGCCTTGAGCCGGTTGCGTCGTAGGTGAGGGCATAAATGCCAGCCTCACTGTCCAGTGACCCTGAAACATAGTAAGGACTAGAATAAACCTTTTGCTCCTCGTGATAAAGTCAACAATAAAAGTAAACATCAACTTATCAACACACATACCAGGTTGAACAATAGTTTGAGATTGCTGGAAATTGTGACCACTTTTCCAATCCCAAAACCACATGCTTCCATTGTCACCTACACAAGGAGATGCACAATACATCATTGACCTCCAGCTTAAGAACCAGAAGAGGAAAGTGGCGAGGAGTGGAGAAGAGGCGGAACAAAAAATGAGTGGAATGGGTGAATAGGGTGGTGACATTAACTACTTCTCACCTCCAGTGACCATTACACCTTCATCATTAACTGCCATCGCATTGACTATGGTTTTCTGTTGGGAACTGGGAAAAAATGTTGACATTACTTTAGATTCAAATTTACTAAGAAAAAGGTATACTGAATATGATATATATTAAGATGTAGATGTCAAGGTTTTATGGCATATCATGAGACTTACAGCATGTTGTGCATAAATTCTCCTTTTGGAAGACTGAATTTTTTTATGTTGTCTGCTGATGCAGAAGCAAAACAATCCCTGCAAGAAAATGAAAATAACAATTAATAGTGTACTCCGAGGAGAAGTTAGGGAATCAGGAAAATAGCAGGGCATCTGTCGTGTAAACATACTCCGTAGGATGCTGAGCCATAGCTCGAACAGATTTCTTGTGATGTGTGAGAGTTGCCATTGTCTTACCTGCCAGGCAAGGAAAATTAATAATCATAGGAAATTAGAAACTGGAACCATTATAATAATAAACACATATAGTCCAGTAAAGAAATCCTAGTTACCATATCTAAGGTCCCAGAACTTAATGGTACTGTCATGAGAGCCAGTTATAACCTGTGGATCCTGAAACAAAACTCCCCATCATGAAATCTGATTGTTAACTTTAGGCAATAATGCGACTATGAAAGAGTTGTTAACATATGATTAAGACATCATAAAAATGAGACACCATGCGTAATGCTTTTAGTAGACCCGGGAGTTCTTTGTTTCATACCCTAATTGTTCTAATCATACAGAAACCACTTCTACAAAGAAACAGATACATGGATGCATTAAGAGTTGCTAAGGTTTAACAGTCTCATGAAGGTGCATCAATTTGCACGCGCAGTCTGTACCCTGTTTATACTATGTGAACCATCCTTACCAAGAAATATTCGGCCGCCACATTAGGGGTTAAAACAGAAAGTATCCAGAAAAGGTAATTAGAATCTTGTACTGGTATAGATTTTAGCATAAAATCACATAAATCTTTATATGTAACACTTCACACATTCCATATGATTAACAGCTAGACCACCACCACTACAGTTGAGCGTTTTGTTTTCAAACCAAGTATTTTGATCCAGAAACCCATTTTGTTTTATTGTTTAAATAGCACCAAAAAAAAATAACAACCCAAGACATGTTTTTTGTTTCCACAAAAGGTCAGCTCAAGTGTTTTTAACTTCTATATGTTTCCCTTGGATTTTATAAATTGCAGCCCTACCCTCCTTTTTCCCCATTTTTAGCCAATACAGATTTAATCTCTTTATTTTTTTTCAACAAAAAGTTAATGAGATATTCTCTTATAAGAAAAAAATTTAGTGGTGGTGTAGACAACTTAGGACCCATTTGGCCATAGATTTCCCAAGTAAAATTTGGCAAATAGTATTTGTCCATACAATTTGTCATTATTTGACACATTTTTGGCAAATAATCCAAATTCTCAAATACTAGAAAAAACTAGTATTTTTTTTTTTGATAACCGAGAAATCCGTTTGTGACCCGCCCCTTTGGACCAATCACAACCTTCTAAACTCTGTGGATAATGGGCCCGTCCCTCTACCCTTCTCCACTTAAATACCGGGTTTCGCTTAGCATGGTGTGGGGCTTGAACGTGCGACCTAAGCCACAAATCGTCCACCTTTTGCCACTTGAGCTAGGCATTGGGGGTGAAAAAACTAGTATTTTTTTTGGTCAAATCTCATTATTTGGGAGCTATTAAAAATTCAATTCTACACCAAACTTTTGTCTTTTACAAAAACACCCTCTATAGTTGTTGTTTGCACTGTTTTACACATTTTTACGTGAACAACAAAGCAATGATGGAATATTCAGTGAATATGAAAGTGATGATATGGTTGTTGATGAAAATGACAAACAATCGGCTCAGGATAACAAAGTCATTGGCTTCGTCTACTTCATGATGTATGGAATGATGTTTGTTGCACTCGCACTGAAATACCACATTGTTCCAGTGTCATGGACACTACTTGTTATTTGCTGCAACGAAGATCCAATTGACTTGTTGCAGAAGTTATGAATCTTGTTACGTCGACGTTTCTATCTTGCTATGTAATACAAACCTATGAATAATTTTGATGGTTTTTAAAACTTAGGGGTATAAATTATATTTCTTAAAAAAATGAAATATGTTTTTCAAATACCATGGCCAAACACATGGTGAAATTTCACCCAAATAATATTTGCCAAAAATATTTGGAAATCTACGGCCAAACACTAGCTTAGACTGTTAACAGGAAATACATTTGGTAGCATCAAAGATGTGAAGTTCGTTTGAGGAACTCCAAAAATATTACATCAGTTTGAGGTAACTGGATGAGAACCCGTGAAGTGAAGGGGACGAGAATAGAAATATGTGCAAGTACAAGTGTGTACTTGAGAATTAAGCCTAGTTTAATATATTAAAATTCTTGAAAGTTGTGAAAGCTGCATGGAAATATAATGGTATCAAATATTTTTGGATGTTCCAAAATAGGAAAAGTCAAAATTTGAAACGGATAGAGCAACAAACACAGTAGTACATATTATGTGAAGTATAATGTGTCCCGTATAGAAGGAAACCTAGATTTCCAGGATCAGAACTAAAGTCTAAATTAAATTTGCTCCTAACAGGCAGTAATATAGACATAGATTATGATTAGCTTCAATGAATAAAAGAAGAAATTTTTAACAATCACAGGATG